AGTGTAAGTTTGATTCTTAAATGTATGCTTTTTGAAAATATGAATCTCCTGAATTTCTCAGACTTTTAATTAATTTCATTTGTAGTGCTTTGGTGGAAGTATATTAAAAAACAAAAGTCAAAGTATTTTGAAATTATGAAATCTCACAGTTTTACTCAGTACAAATGGGAATTGTTTTTGCATGAAAAAATCTAAAAAAGGAACAGGAATACATGAATAATAATTATATGCAGCTGCACTACTGAAGGTGTTTATGAAATTGTTTTGATCTGTGCTTTATTAGACTGATTTACTAAGCTTTCAGGTTCATAGAACATAATTGTACTGTAGCTTACACTATGTACTGTCGTTCAGGAACATTAATAATTTGTTGATAGGTTATCTTCTATCTTAGAAATCAGTAAGCTCTCTGAAACTCTGGTTATCTTGGTAATACTCTTGCTTAATCTTTAATGATGATATATAGGTTTTCTTTGTTCTTAGTAACAGTTTGGTGTCAACATCCTGTTTTTAAGAACACTCTTCTCAAACTAACACAGATCTGAATGATTGCAGTCCATTGGTGTATTTAATACACTTTAAATTAACCTATGCTTTATCCTTTAGAGGAGACAAACATACATCCGTGTGACAAAATGCTATCTATTCCATAGCCAAGTAATCCACATAGCATAGCACTAGTAGCAGTTACCAAAAAAAAAAAAGAAAAGGTCCTTCATCATGGCAGAACCCCCCCAACCTTAGGCATCTAGTCAATGACATCCAAAATCTGGAAGTTGATACAGCTTGTGTGCTGAGCACTTGAAGGTTCCATGGATGCCTGCAGAAGTAGCAGGACCCCAGCAAACTTCTAGCATCTCTACAGCTTTCATCCCCAATCAATTCTGTTTCTCCTTTTCCTTACAATTATGGAAAGAGGAGGTGGAATTATGGTGAAGGAATTTTTCTGGTGGAAAATGTGTGTGTAAAGCATGGCTTTATAATTTTAAAATTTATAGATAAATGGGACATAAGACTTGAAGTTCAATTAGTGAGAAAAAATATTTTTAGTCTTTTTTTTTTTTCAAAATGAAGTCTTTGAGTGTCCACGTTCTTCTGAATTACTCCTAAAACTTCAGCTAAACTCCAGTATTTGTTAATAGGCTAACAATGGGAACTAACATACAAATCTAGAGCAAGCAGATGCTTAGTAAAGATAGATTTTAGCTTCTAGTTCCCTGGAGGTTAATGTGGACAACAAAATAAGATGAAACAAAAGAGGTTTCTTTAGTTTATTTAAAAAAGATTAAACAGAGTGACTCACATAAGAGAGTTCAAATACATAAAAGGCTGCTGCAGAGGGAAAAGGAATAATCAGTTCCCCTCACCCATAGCAGGTAAAAAATAGTTGCAGGCTTAAATAATAGTCAGGGAGATTCAACTCTAAGTCAAACTTCACAGCAGTAGGATAGTAAAGCATTGTAATAGAGAGGGAAGTGGTGGAGCCTGTTGTCTTCCAGCTGTGTTTTTCTGTGGTTACCGTGAGAGGTTACCATGGCTTTCATTTTGCTGCAGGATAAGAAAGTCTTACCCAAAAAATTCACTTGAAGTAGCAGTATTTTATCTTCCTAAACTCTATCAAGGAATGGGACATATCACTGATTTTGGAATCTGTGCAATCTGTTGGCATCGCAGACATTAGATGTTAGATGGATCTACTTCACTATTTCCTTGTTCCAAGACTGATGAGTTCCTCAGGTTGATAGATGGCTTGCCAACACTGCATTGTCATTGCTGAAGTGCATTAAGGCAGAGAGACATCTAGTTTCAGTAGAGGAGGAGGGGGAAATCATTGTGGTCATAATTGCTTTAATAGATTGCCTTAAAAATGCAACGCTTTAAGAAAATTATTTGCCTTTGTTCTCCTGCTGTGTCTGCCTCGTTCTCTTTCTTTTCCTCTTTGTTGTTTTACCCACCTATATATTTTGGACTTAAAGTTCAGCTTCTCCTCCATAGTTCCTAGCATTTGGACTATGCAGAATAGAATCTGAGGGGCATATTACAGGTATCTGGCAGACTGAGACAAGGTCCTTCAAAATTTTTTCATAGAAATGTGAGGAATCTGAGGAATGCAACAGGAACCAGATTTGTTGTCTCTTTATCATCCTTTCTCACAAGGACAGAACACTATGCATTTAGTATCACTAAATGCTACTAGCTCTTAAGCATTCATGAATTATGAGTCTTGGAGGTCAATTTGTCTGACTTTTCAAAAAAGGAAACTTGCTTTCAGAGTGTTATCTGACTTTGTGGTATGTTGGCTGTGTCTTCTAGTTGCTAGTATGAAGCCCAGGTGGTCTAATTCCTTTGTTCAGTAATAGGGAGTAACTATCAGGCATCCTGTGTTTAACTTGTATTTAAGTCTTTTTAGAGGAGGAAAGGCTACAGTGTCCTCTCCTCCTGTTTCTGAGCTACGTCTCTTTTCCTTTTCTGTGTCTGTAGTGGCACTCTTCTAGATTCAAGTTTGTCCTCTCTACTCCTCTTCTGCCATGAGCAGTACTCCCCAGGCTATTTTTTCTGTCTCTCTCTTTATAGTTTTTCTAATTCCGATATCTGAAGGTTTAGCCCTGGTACATTTGGTTACTTGAAACCCCATACCTCTGTCTTCTTCAGTTACACCACAGTGAGGATGGTTTAGAGTGGTGATAGGTGGTCTCACAAGCCTACCAAGCAATTTTGTGTGCTCTTAGCACCTGAACGAGAGCTTCATGAAAAGCCTTGCTCCATGTCTTCATACCAAATTCATGCTGAGAAGGTGGCATCATTTTAGACATTTGTGACATGCTGCTCAGAATTATTTTTCTTCCCTGACTGATTGTTTTTTTTTAATATCACTGACTTGAGAAGATGAATCTCAAAATAACCCAATAAATAATTGTAAAAAATATAATTGTAAATATACATTCAAAAGGACTCTACATGCTACATTGAAATCAACCCACTCTGTGTCCAGCTTATTTCTTACTTCCATGGTCTTATTTCAACAAATTGCATTGCTATTGCCAACCTTACAGCTCTAGCTGGCCTTTGAGAGCTATCTTTCAATAATGGGAGGAAAAACAGACTTCCTGTGCAAAGCGACACATAAACTAAATTACTTGGGTGATGACTCAAATCTAGCACAAACTTAGTGTTCACAATTTCACCCTTGAAGCTGAAAAGTGTAAGAAGTCAGGAGCATGTAGAGTTGGATGGAGGTACTGATTGTAGCAATTCATTTATGCTGGAAATAAGAGCATCTTCCTATCTATTTTGTTCTTATTCTGAATGGCTGCTGCATATAGAGGTAGTGTGAAGGTGAAAGAGGTTAGGCTGGGTCTCAGTTCTGTCTGTACTGTATCTCCCTGTTGTGTGGAGCTCACAGACGTTGTTGAGATTGCATCTGAACTGCACTATGGGAAGGTAAACCTGTTTAAATTAGAAATATCTGAACTCATAACCTGAAGATTTCCCCTATCTGTAGTGCCAGTCTGATCTTTTATTTACACAGAGCCAATGTTCACCTATAATACCATTCAGTGTTAGTAAAGCGAACCATAGCAATGCATTCATCCATCTTGAGGTTCCTCACTGGGTCCATAAAAGAGGAGTGCATCACCAACAAGTTTAACCTGCTACAGAACTGAATTGGATGGACTCTGCAAGCTAAACTTAAGGCTGAAAATTGCAGACTATACAGTTTGGTGTTAGGCTGTGTATAAACAGTGTGTATAAACAAATTAAAACCCCAAAAGTCTTGTATGAGGCAGACATAGCCCACAACACGCTATAAGGGGAAGAGTGGGTGGATAGCATTCATTGACGCAATGATTCAGAATCGACCTTTTTTTTTTATATGTTTGTGTATTAATTCATTTTTTTAAAAGAACAGAAGATCAGATTTATGGTGTCACAAGTACTTCCTTACTGGGGAGAGTGAAACTGCAGCAATATAATTTAGCTGTGTCTTGTAGATTGGCAATATATGTACCTTTCGTTCCAGTGAGTGGTTCCAGACCTTAGATGAGGCTAAGACATTTTTAAAGATGTATCAGTGCTCTTGTTGCCTCAAAAGTCTTACACTGAGCTTTGTATAGGATAGATTTTAGGAATGTTTAGAAGCATTAAGATAACTGCAGCTCCTTTTTTATGAAACATTGCCTCAAGAGGACAGCATGTTTCAGAGGGTTTTTCCAGCTGTTCTTAAGCTGTTGGCTTTAATCCATAAAGCTTTCAGTTATTCGGACCATGCCTTCTCCCTCTCACTTCTACACAATTAAGAGCATAAACAGTTGGCGTTAAATCCACCTTGATTTAAAAAGGAAGATCATCTTATCAGGGAATTTCCTGTAAGTGGGACAGACTCTGCTACTTCACTGTCTCCTGGCCACCTGTTTTGCCTATAAGTATGTGATTTTGATATTCTTCTCAGAAAGCTGAATGTCTCCCCACCTTCTCTTTTATATTCTTTGAGAGACAATAACAATATAGTATAACTGTGTGAAAGCTATTGTGGATTTATTGTTGTAGTTCGGGAATATTATTATGTACCCCATGGACAGTCAATTATATGTGGCATGTATTGTAGATTTTATATTTTGTCTGCTTTAAAAAATTCTTGAAGTGCCTAGAGCCACAGCTAGGTGCCTAAGTTGTAACTTCAAATAAATAAATACATTAAATAAATAATTGAAGCAGGCAGTTTCAGATAAGAAAGAGAGCTGGCTCCTGGGTAGAAAACACTGTAAGTCTTAAAACAGCAGAATCTTTAATAAAGGAGATTAAATAGAAGCCCCAAAGAATTTCTTCTCTGAAAAAAATCTGGACACTAAAACCAAAAAAAATCCCCCAAATCCACAAACTAACAGGATTTATACTTGGTGAATTAGAAGCTTCATTATATATGGTACAGAACTAATTACTAGGGAGCATTTTATTTACCTCTAACTTCTATTTAATAGCCGCTGCACTTGTCATTGCAGGTATGGTTACAAAAGTATGGCTACCTTCCACCAACTGACCCCCGAATGTCGGTGTTGCGCTCTGCAGAAACCATGCAATCAGCTATAGCTGCCATGCAGCAGTTCTATGGCATTAATATGACAGGAAAAGTGGACAGGAACACAATTGAGTAAGTAACCAGTACTGAACTGCTCTTGACTTTTCTGTTTCAAGCAGGGTAAAATAGAACTGGAGAACCTTTATAACACATGAAGCAGGGTGACTGGAATATCCAAATAGCGTTGCAGCTTCAGATGGGGAGTTAAAATGTTTTTCTGTCTCTCCTTGCCTTTTTTTTTTTTTTTTCCCTGTATTTCATGGTAGCAGGTAGTCACCTGCCTAACTGCTGCCTGCCTTTGGGCACCTGATTGTAAAGAAAATGTTTCAGGGTTAACTAAAGAAAGTGCCAAAAGGTTATGGGAGTGGGAAGAAAACTTACGTGGAAGTGAAGAAACCTGTTCAAAATTGGCAAGAATTCATGGAATGTTTCACAGCAGAAAGCGTCTTTTCTTACTGGAAAATCTTTACTGTAAATTTCCTTATCCTCATTGATAAAAAATATAACACACTGCATTGGCCCATTCATTTATTGGTTTCCAGTAACAAAAGAAGTGTGGTCATTTTAACATGCAGTAAGATTGGATTAGTTTTGCCTGCCCTTTGCAATTCTGAAGTTGCATAAGGCCAGCAGTGTCTGATTTTATTGACAGACTGAACACATAGAAACTTTGTGAAACAGAGCTATTAAAAGACAATTCCAAGCAACTCTATACTATGCCAAATTTTAAAAACGTGCCGGGGGAAAAAAAAAAAAAAAAGATTAGTACACAAGAAAACATAACTGGGATTAAGATTTGAAGTGCTTGTTGGAATTATTTCAGTTAAGATGCAATAAAGATTATCTTGTGATTTTAGACAAAGTTACTTTGCTTGAAAAGCAAATAATAACAAAATAGTACTGTCACTACATAGCCAACATTTACTTTATTGAAATACATTTCTAGTACTTCTCTAAAATGCTTTTTAGTGGGGGGAAAATATCCTCCTTAAAATTCCAAGAAACTCTATACTATGCCAAATTTTAAAAATGTGCCGGGGGAAAAAAAAAAAAAGATTAGTACACAAGGAAACATAACTGGGATTAAGATTTGAAGTGCTTGTTGGAATTATTTCAGTTAAGATGCAATAAAGATTATCTTGTGATTTTAGACAAAGTTACTTTGCTTGAAAAGCAAATAATAACAAAATAGTACTGTCACTACATAGCCAACATTTACTTTATTGAAATACATTTCTAGTACTTCTCTAAAATGCTTTTTAGTGGGGGGAAAATATCCTCCTTAATTTCCCATTTACCATCCCCAACCCAATGTGTCATCTTTCATTATTCTTTTTTGGTAAAGTAGCTGATATGTATGATTTTTCTATCATTTAGAGTTTAGGGAAGAGAATACCCAAAATGCTGGCAGGATTGGAAAAATTTTATTCTACTGGCACATGCATTATTTCATTGAAAAGCAATAAAACAAAGCAGATTTTAGGGCTTCCCTAAGGGGAGGCGAATTGATCACACAACCCTCGGTTTAGGTATTTAAAGGACCTTGTGAGAGACCCATGCTCAAAAGTATGTTTATGATCCAGCCTGCAGAGTAGAGAGGCTGGGCTCTTTATGCAGTTTCAGTAATTGATCCTTGAGGGGAGAGTCCTGCTACACCAGTTACTAGTAGGCTTTTAAAGACACATTAGTGGCAGCTTTGTAAGAGGCAATATATTTCACTAAAAGGAAAATAATCTGTTCACAGTTATCAGTATAGACAAGATAGAAAGTGGTAACCTAAGGAAAAGCAGAAATTATCTCTTAGAGTATCAGCTAGCGAGTTGAAAAAAACCAAACCAAACCAAACCTTTAATTGCAAAGGGAAGTGGTTTATATTGCTAAATTGGGCTTGTTGGCCAGTGTGTCAGCAAGGTTGTCTTCACTTCTTCTGCTATGTAAGAGACAAAGGAATCCATCTATGCAGCAGTCCAAAACATTAATTTTACAATCCGGTGGATATTGAGTTTTCCAAACCTTTTGATGCATGATTTTCTTCTACACATAAAGACATATTAAAGCATGGCAATTCTTAGATACATATAACTTGTATATATAAATTGGGACAGAACAGATTCTTAAAGACTTTTCACATTTACATTGGTATTGAGAAGAAAACCCAACTCATTAAACCAAACTGTGGCCTCAAGTTACCATCGTAATACCAGTGAATATTCTTGGGAGATATGACTATATAACGAAGGATTTTTTTTTTCCAGTTGTTCACTTATGTCAATATTTTGTAAAGGCTTGAAATAATTTTCCCTTTCATCTACACAGAAAGTATATATACTATCCTTTGGTCAGAAAAATTGTGACAGTTTACCATTTGTTTCTCTGTGATTAATATGTTATAGTCACATACAACACTGGGTTTACAAAATAAAGAGTACAGCAAGAACCCCATAAAAACAATATGTTCTTATCTTGTGCATGAGGATTTACCTGCTTCTCTAGCATGTCTTGAGAAGAGATTACGATGTGTGTAATTGTCTTCAGGACAAACTATTGAAAGAAGGTATAGTAGTAACTTGATAGGAACCAACTTTGGGGATATTAACAGAGAAATAATGTCCTGCAGCAGCATCATCAAAAATCTCATGGAGGGATTTTGTAGCTCTGAAAAAAGAGATAATCCTTCAATGAGTGTTTTGGTATGCATAAATATAAACAGTGTTCATCTTCCGTCCACTACTCATCATTCACTTGTTTTTGCTATGTTTTTAAATTTGTTTCCAAGTGTCCTGAAAAGCATGATGCATGCTTATTGCTGGGGATATGGAAGAGTGAGTGGTAGAAAGAGACATCATTATAACGATATAACAATATGAGGGTCGTTCTGAATACAAGTATCATGACAATGGCAAACCCAATGAAAATACTGTCTGATGGTTGCATGGGGTGCCACGGTATTTTCTGTGATTTACCAGACACAGTCAATGATCCACTAAAAAGGAGACTTCTGAAAACAGACCATTGGTTGGCATCCTGGTCTTTCATATCCCTAAACCAAACTTACTATGTAGAAAAAAACTAGTTGTTGTCTTTTCTTAAAACTGCTATACATGTTTATTTCCAAAACATGTTTTGCAGTTTAAAGGGGTACATTACAAGCTTCTTGGTGTACAGATAGAATGGTTGGGTATAAGATGCTGACAAAACCTATGCAATAGTAACAAAGCATTCATTTTATTTTAATGTCATCCTTTATAAATAAATGGCAGCAAATGTGCTTATTTTAATGCTCAGATAAGCTTCTAACAAAGTTTACTTCAAGGTTCATAATTAAGATATCGTATTTACGTGTGATCTCTGCTGTTTATATATTATCAGTCACAGAGTGAACAGTAAATTTTGAGCTGTTGAAATTGACTCAGTCATCTATTCTATTAGTAAATATTTTTGTACAAAAGCTGTACATAAGGTCTTGTACACTCAGCAAACATTCAATGAGAAGCCTTGTACACAAATCATCATCAATCACAGGGCTGAAATACAGTATCTTACATCACTCTTCAACTGCTTCCTGTTACTTAAAGGAGTAAGTCAGTAAAGTCCTGTAATAGCAGAATACAGTAGGGAAGAGTAAAGATGTATAGAAAACATATCTATCTCTCCTTACAAGTAGTTTAAGAGTACCATTTAGTACTTTTCATATATAAATATCTGTAGTTTTTCCAGCTACTAAGTCAAGTTGCACTAAGTTGGACTCTTCCTTTTATTTTCTTTTTTTGGTATAACTCTGCCAAAAAAAAACCCCAATAAAACCCACCACCACCAAAAACATTATGCAGCCTAAGCAGCTGTTTTGATTAGGGTTAAACAAGGTGGGGCATTTAGCCAAAGGTAGGGGTTTTTAATGTTTTGAATCCGTGTTGGACCAAAACTTCTTCCTGAAGGCTTAAGAAAGTGAGGAGGCAGAAAGAAATTCTTCCCCTTACCACTAAAGAACAAAAGATGGTTAGGCAACTGGGTTGAGTTATGAGAAGTTCAGTTTCAGCTCTCTCTCTACTGGAAGAGCATTACAGTTTTGCTGTATATTTTTATTTTAATCTTTTCAGATTTCCTCTGAATCTAAACTGTTTTAATTCTCTTGACGTATATAGCTCCTCATGGTTCAAACTAATGGAGCTGAGAAAGGAATTTGATATGACATAGTCTACAGATAATTAGTCACAATTAAGCCTCTTTATTGAGTACTGACAAACTATTAATTTTGAGGGGATGCTGCACAAAAGATTTCTACAAGTTCAGAAACAAACAGATGAAAGAGAGGCAAAGTCATTACTGATATGTACTTTTTAAAATTAAAAACAATTATTTAAAAAAAAATTAAACTCCAAAAAACAATCAATAACATGGAAGCCCTTGATCATATTATGTTAAAAGCAGCTATATTTGGAAGAAAATAGAAATGAATGCTTTATTTGTCAATTCCCCCCCAGATGGAAGAGCATATTACACACTAAGTATCCCCAAATGCATTAATCATAGAATCATTTAGGTTGAAAAAGACCTTTAAAATCATCAAGTCCAACCATTAACCTAACGCTGCCAAATCTACCACTAGACAATGTGCCTAAACAGCACATCTACATGTCTTTTAAGTACCTCCAGGGATGGTGACTCAACCACTTCCCTGGGCATCTTGTTCCAAAGCTTGACAACCCTTGCAGTGAAGAAACTTTTCCTAATATCCAATCTAAACCTCGCTTAGTGCAACTGGCGGTGGTTTCCTCTTGTCCTATGGCTTGTTACTTGGCAGAAGAGACCCACATCCACTTTGCTAAAACCTCCTTTCAGGTAGTTGTAGAGA